AGGAGTATTGGAGCTGTTGCGAAAGCAAGAGCAAGCCATTCTGTGGAGCTTGATTTGCTCTATCGAAAGATACCTTAAAGCCTATCTAGTAACAGAAGTTCATGATTTATTGCGACTGAAATCAAAACGGACGGAACTTATGGATCAACCTGATAGAAAGCGTTTTGCATAGATTTTTGGCCCATTACGTGCTCATACTGTGCGCCATCCAACTGCACCCTTTAAACAAATCCGTACTGCGGAAAAGACCTAGTAAGTAGGTCTAGCGGATTTTTTGACGACAAAATATGGCTTCGCATGGCAAATGTCGTCCTGCAACACTTGATGGAAGGTACATCAGTTTCTACTGCACCTTCTAGATCTCGCTGTAGGAGAATATCACCTGTTTCGGAATATCGCATGTCATACGAGCGATTTTTGCTTCGATACTGAAGACAATATCAAGCTCTGGTTAGAAGATTCTTTGGGCCAGACTTCCTAAGCTTTTATGAAACTTTGAAAATATGAAGGCAAAATGGCAGAAAGCTCTTCGCAGTAATAGTACATACATTATTGGCTGAAATTTGACAAACTTCTGTCATTTCGTTGGTTTATGAAAATTCTACGAACTTATGAAACGACCTAAAAGATGAATTAAAAACGAGAGAGAATTTTGCCCTATAAATGATTGGAAAAAGTACTCCTAAGCCGATGTCCTAAATTCAGAGTCAAGTGTAGTAATTGTGGCTTAGAGATTAGAAAGACAAGCTCTTAGTGCGAAAAGCAATTTGTCTTCATGAATTATTAGCCGCAAAATTTATTTACGCTCGTTCAAGACTTGATATCATTTTATTCAATATTGAAACAAGGTACCAAGAGAGTTTTTAAATGCCGACGTCTCAAAATTTCCATTTTTATATTTCAACACGAAAAAAACGCCATTCTATATTATTCCGTTATTCTTGAAGCACAAAAGTACAAAACCAATCGAATAGGAACGGTGACTGTGTCTTTCAATTGCAGTTTTCAAAAGCGATGTGCAGAGAATTGCATTTTATGAACCTGGAGATGAATACTACCAAGTTTTTCATGTGTAGTAATTTCAAGACAAATTATAAACTAGCCCTTCTTTGAATTGGCCCTAGCTCTTTGTTTTGCTGTTTAAACACTTGAGCAATCGTATAATCGTATACGACTTACTCCTACTCTGGACTGTCGATTTCAAGGGGCTAAACCAACTACCAAGATAATAAAAAATGGTAGCAGAAAAAAACGTGGATCTGCAAAACCTCAACTTATTCAGGATGGGAAAAAGATTGAAGTTCTTGAAAAGAGTTGATGAAGCCGTAGAAGAAATAGGAAGTCTGGAAAGACAAAATTCACTGAGACTTTTGTGGTGAGATGTCTACAGCAATGTCGGACCGGCTGGCGCGAAAATGGCTCCCTCACGGGTCTTAGAATGGATCGCGAAAGTTTCGAAGGTGGCTCTAAGTTATCAAAGTGTGCAGGAATTGTTTTCACATGTAAATAATCGGAATTCAAATTAGCTTTGCAAAAAAGGCTTGTGGGGCGGGCGCCATGCCCTTCTGTGTCAATTTCAAATTACAGGTTAGCAATATTTGAAAGAGTTTCAAAAAAATCTTATGGGGATGTAGTTTACGACATTTCACTTTGTTCGAAAAAAAAATCGAGTCGCCAGTGGGATATATTACTTAGGTTTGCAAGAGGGACGCAAACTTTTTGTGAAACATTGCTTTATTTGGGAATGGAAATGCCCACATGGAAAATGGGCGGCTTTTTGTAAGCGTTACTTCTCAAGAGAGTGACAAAACCTCTAAGTGATCGAGAGGCTTGCTCATAAAATGATTTTCGTCATCTCAATCGAAAAAATCTTCGCGTTTTAAGAGGATATTCGTTGTCTGTTTTAAAAGAAAGTGTTCACACTACAGGATATACTGAATGTTACTTCTTTTGAGCCTCAAAAATATTTGAAATTTCTAGTAGGAAAAAGGAACACAAAATCACAAAGTGAGCAATAGGGTGTTCTATCTTCCAGACATAAGCACTTTTTAGTAACGTGCAAATTCGTCTGTTGTGAGATTTGATCTTATAGTTGTCATCCACCAAGAACGATCGATGGTCTTCCAAAGCTTCAAACTGTTGTCAGTTGAATCCACAAAATGCTGTTGTTGATAGAGCTTTCATAACCCAAGTCAATTGACAGCACATGAATTGAAAGAAGCCTGATAACTAGCCCATCAATGCAATGAATATTTACGCTTGTTTCAGTTCCAGTTGTTTTTGTTTCGAGAAGGTTGGAGGGGCCATGGAGAGAAATTATCTCAAGATAGATATTCCCAGCGGTGAGGTAAAATTGCAAGCATTGATCCTTTTAAAAAAGATAAGGAGTTAACAACACTCTTACCTCTGCAGTGCGGCTCCCGTAGTTCCTCTTACCTTCGGACCTATCGTCAAAACGTCATTTACATCTGTCGTATTTTCCTATAGAAATCTCCCACCATCTTCCTTCAGAAAGAGAATAAAGCTACCTGGCCATCGATCGCGATCCTCCTGTCTGATAATGAATTTAAGTCTCAGTTTTATACCGAATCAAAAAAGCATAGCAAAGGTGTGGACGTTCAAAAATCAATTTGCTTTAAATTACTTTTTTCTAAGGAAGAAATTATGAAAATTTCAGAGATTCAAATATCTGCATAGTTTGCAATCTCACAGGAAGTTTCTATCAAGTGCAGCACTAGAGCTCGTACGATAGAAAATATATTTTAGTCAGGCTAACTACGACAATATCTTGCGCCTCTTCCACGCGAGCGTTTTGTATCCAGATAAGCAAAAAAACCAGACTTCAACAATAAATTTGCCCGATAGAATTCACTTTATGAAGCTCCATGCTCTTCTTGTAATTCTGCACTGTTCAAGCAACACTGTGAAGAGTCTACTAAACATCATGGGAATGTTTGATTTCTACTTTGAGCTAGAGAGAAATCCAGAGTTAGCTTAATATAATAACATCGACGTTTCATTTACCAATATTCGTCATTGTTAATAATATCTGCAAGATGAAATCTTCAAAATTCAAATCTCCGGCTAAATGTCTTACATTTACTTATGCCTGATTATGTGCATACTTGCCAGAAATCACTCTGTGTAATAGTACTGAAACGCATCAGGGTTGCCTGTGCTAGCACCATAAGATAGACATAAAAGTAGGATACTATTATTCAATAGAGCAAAGCAAGCTACAAGAGAGCATTCAAACAGTCGCAGAACTATGATCCGCGTGAAGTCTGATGCAAATTATAGAAAACCCAAATTTTCCTAAAAAAACAGGATTTTGTCCGAAATGCTACCTGCGAAACTAACTTGATCACACTTACCATATTTATAACATCACACACACTTGCTTTAGTTCCATGGCATATCAAGAACACAAAAGTCGATATACGCTTGCCAAAGTAATGGTGAGCTATCCCCGTATAGATAAATCAAGGGCAATCCTTTGTGAGTATAGCTGCAAATTTTCGGCTTTTTTCCAAAATTTTAAATTTGGCTTAGAAACAGAAAAAAAAACGACGTTTTTGTATTTTTTCCTGTTTTGTCTTTCGATTTCTAGTCATAGAAAAATCCGTTAACGGCACATTGAAGGTTTGCTGGTGTGTTTCTCACATTTTTCATATAGTCTGAGGCAACAGGGTAAGGAGCTGCATTCATGACACCACTAATTTCAAGTTCTATCAGTAACTTACGGATTTTTTGCTTGTCTGCTCCAACACTCCACTCCTATAATACATAAAATTTCCAGGAATCTTCAAAGAAGAATGAAAAACGATGTAGAGCTTTCTTTTACGCCTTTGTTGCCATAATGTTCCTTTATTAGAAAGATATTCAAGAACAAGAGGGTACGCTACCTCAGATTCTGCCTTAAAGCACACTGGCTGCTTACCCACACGGCCCACTGCCTTAGATATACAGCAGCTTTTCTTCGAATCTGACGGTTTTTATTTGACCTTCACACATCTCTCAAGTAAAGTTCGTTTACGACTTTGGATGTTACACCACTAATTTACCACTTTACCTTTTTGCACATACCAAATTAAACTTTTATAACAGTTCGAAAATGGTTAAGAGCCTAATTCAGAGTCACTGACTCCTTTCAGCCATTGGAGTTTTCCTCTAATTGTTGAAGCCTTACAACAAAAACAAATAGAACTACTGATATTGGACTTTTTCAAAAAACTCATAAGTATGCGAAATTTATAGCCATGAAAAATGCAGTAACCTGACAGTGCTGTGCCCGTAATGCTTTGTCCACTTTGTTTCTGTCCTTAATGGTTTACTGGCTTTGTTTCGGCCATATTTTACATTTACTAGCTTGCACTTTACTTTCAATTTTAAGCCAGCGTTGCAAAGCGTTTGCAGTTCACCTTCAATTTTGAGCAGAGTTCAACAGACACATGCTTAAACTTCGCTAACGACTTTTGGATGTGAGACCACAAATTTACCACTTTACTCATTTGAAAACCTCGCAATTGGACACTTATATGTAGCGATTTGAAGATAGTTAAGAGCTAAGTCGGAAGCTACTCCTTTTTAACTTACAAAATAACAATAATATGTGCTGTACATATAAGGCTATCGTTAAAGTTTTTCAGAAGTTAAGCTCCTTATAACAGGTGAGAACAATCTAATTATCATGAAATCATCCAAAATCGCTGAAATTAAACAGTTTTAGAAAACTCATCAGTATGAAATTATAGTCAAAACAAAGAATCTGTACTTCATCCACAATTTGACAGTTGCTGTGTACGTAAAAATTTGTTGGCTTTGTGTCTGGCCGTAATGGTTCGCCGACTTTATTTCATCTATCAAATTTTACTATGTATTCTACCTGGTTGCTACGCCACAGACAAAAGGTTGGAATCAAGGTGGTGCAGAATCCAGCTTATTGTAGAATTTACAAGCTTCCCGTGCGCTCGTCAAGAGTCTGAGTTCACTCACTAAAAATGTCGTCTGCGACTGTCTTCATTGTCTTGGTTTTGGTGGAAACGGTGAGCGTCGGCGCATGCGGACAGATGAGCTCAATCAGATGTTGATCTTTAGGCAATAAATGTTGGAGTGTTCCGCTACAGCCCCAATGCTGGTCATGGTTATCTAGTGTACGATATTTACTTAGAAGACAAAGCAATGTGCTTAAGGGCTTGCTATGAAGAAGTCGAATGCGAAGTTGTGAATTATGAGGTTCAAGCTTGCTTTGAGAAATATAAAAACAATTGAGTAGTTTTCAGGAAAACACGCGATCATGTGCAATGTACCGCGGTGGCAACTCCACAGAACCGGGATACATACTTTCACGTGGAGAGACGGACGCTGCCTGCACTTTGATAGAAATATCCGATACCGACATCGCTTTCCAAAAAATACCATCTCAAGATTTAGCAAAAGTGGAATGCAATGTGATGTCGGATGTAGCTGCTATCAGCACCTATGAAAACTCCACTGGATATCGTTTCTTCATTCTCCGTCCCAACAATATATCCGAATATTGGGAGGATATGCACTACAGGTTGAAAGTCCTTTTTTCCATTAGCTTACTTCTCTTTGACTGCATCAGGATGTCGCAAAAATTTTGCCACCCCACTGCAAACCTCCATTTACTTCTTCATTCAAAGTGCTACATTTCTTCTTGTGCAGAAAAAATAATGCATATTAGCATCGATATTGATCTCTAGAATCCAAAACTAACAACAAATCAACAATTACACAACGATACTTAAATATACGAAAGAAACTAAATTTTTTGCTGCATTATAGAAAAAACGTTGATCCTAATTTGATGGAACATCGGCCCCCACGCGCTTTCCGCAAAAAGAATTATACCATCAAGAACTCTTCGGGACACGTCTCACAGACCAGTGGCGGACCGAGGAGAAGGCGAGGGGAGGGGGGAGGGGGGAGGGGGGGAGATGAAAATCACTTACATGAGTTACAAAAATGTGGCTGACAAGTGGCTTAATTGTACTTGTAAATAATTAAATGAAACTTTTTAAAAATTCAAATCAGTCCTGTAAAAAATTCTCCGGGGCGTGGCTATACTCGTCCCCTTCTTCTAAAACTTTGGGTCATGAGCCAGCAAAAAATTTGGAAGCGATCAATTTTTCGGAGTGCGTGGCAAACCCATGCACCCCCTCTAAAATTCCCCCCCCCCCTTTCCTTCCTAACGGTATTCCTGGGACCTTACGAACCGGAAACTGTAGCTCGCAAAACTCTCGAAGCGTTTTGGATGATTGCAAAAAGCCCAAAATTAAACAGGAAAGAAGAGTGCATTACCGTGACACAAGAGCTCGCATCCTGCCAGACCTTATGTAATTTTGATCTAACTCAGTAAGGTTGCGTTGGCGGGCTGCGTTGGCTGGCCCTCGGGCCTTAAATATGCGCAATACTCGCAGTGGCCAATCACTTCCTCTCATACGGGTGGTCTTGGCTCCAAAAACCGCTGTATTACGGTGAGCGTTTGCTTTGTCTTTCCTCACATACTGCTTTTGATCTCATTTGATCTCTTGAATTGATCGCTGTGGTCAGATGCGGCGTCTGAGGGGGTATGTCACCAAATGGTCTTTGATTTCCAGGCTCCGACGAAGGCGAGGACGCCGAAACGTCAGCCATCAATAAAAAGATCATACCATCTTGGCTTAGCTACAGCAAAAATCAATCGGATTACCATGCCAAGATTCAAAGAAGGTCGAACCTTTGAAATCCTGGGGCCGCTACTGCACAGACAAGCCACGCATACATAAGACATATAGACAGACCCTCAGCTTTCTACGTAAAGAAGTCGACAATCTCCCAGTTGCACTCTCAGCATTACCATGATGGTGGAACATAACCGTATTCGATGTGGCACTGAAAAAGCTGTTAAACCAGAGTTTCGTAACTTCTTTCACAAAACCAACGTTAAGTATATGTACCTCCATGCCAAACACCAGTGCAATTCGGTATCCTTTCCTGTCGAAAAATGTTTAACCAGAATTTACCTCAATTTCGAAGGATTGCTCATCGAATTGTAGCAAGAGTTAATGAAATTTCTGACCAATGATTAGAATATGCTATTGATTTTCCTGAAAATACAATCATTCCTGTTTCACCTAACGGTATCTCCTTTTGAAATAAATCAAAACTGATTTTGAAAGTGAAAAGTTATGAGACGCAGAAATGGAGAGACAAAAGGCTCGGCAGCATAGCATTACATCTTGTTTGATACTCTTCCACTCTCCTCACTATGTTTGTTTAGGCTTCTTTTCTCCAAAAAGAAGGAGGAAACTTGCACGCCTGTTCCCATCTTCCACAAAGCAAGTAAGTGCGTAGACCAATGTTGGAAACAATGTTGACCCCCACTTGTATGCGTTCAAGGATGTCATATAGGTTTAGCCCGCTCAACATATTCTGATTTTAAGGAGGCATCATAGCTACCTGTATATTGGAGCGAATTTGTTTGAACTCACTCGGTTCACATCTAGATGAGCTCACTAAAAAGAGCAAGACAATAAGCTAAACGCTTAATAAACCCATCTTCTTATTGAGATATTAGCTGCAGAGAATATATTTTGAAAAGGTTCTATAAAGCGCGGCTAAAATTAGTTCACTAAATGAAAACAGCGCTTAATTTGCAGATAAAGCTAGCAAATTAGAAGAATTTAAAGTTTCTAACGTTTCAGACTATCGTCGCCTGTATTTCGGTGAAATCTACAACACTACTGGCTACTACTTCTACAACGCTTACGCCTATGCGAACTACTGCGTTTCTCCAGAGGGTGAATGCTTGGGTGTGATGGAGATTCAAGAATATGTAGACAAATTTGGCTTCCACTTTTACTAAGGCTGAAAAAGCGGGTGCAACAGACTCCGGTTTGGGGCAGAGGTTCTACATCGCAGGCATCGAAAACTAAAGTTACACTTGCTTTTGGAATCGCAGATGGTATGCATTAATGTGCTGTCAATGTGTTAGTGGTTGTGGTTATATCAATAAGCGGCAATAAAGCTTTTGGGGCGAGGAGCTATTTTTCTTTTGTTTTCGATAAGAAAACGGTCTTTCATGATGGTTTTACCACATGAAGATTGTATATTACAGACGTATTATTCAAAAGCCTCTACTCCTTTATTCTAGTTCTTTAAAGTTTAGAAGTCGCAAAGACGAAGGTAGTTAGTGACGCCATTTCTAGCATTGAATGCACGAATAGCAGCAACCGCTCAGTGCAGCTCAACAATTCATCGACTGATCTCATTAAAAAGATTCATTTGTTGTGAGCAGTTGCACAAAATAGACGAGTTGTGTGTAGTACTAGCGACAAATATTAGACAGGTCAGGCACTTAAAGCTTATGGGGTGTATTCGAGAGAGCAAAAAAAGAGCTCTGCTAGATTACCATCAAACATTCACCTAAACCTTTGTTCAATTGAAGATCAAATCCGGAATCTATGTGCAATATACAATGCACTCGAAATTCCCTTCCAAAAGTCTTGCGCCATTCACTTGCCGTATTAGTCCTATGCAGTCATTCATATACACAGTACCGTTTTCTTTTTCGTGCTTGGATTTTGGGATTAAGAAGGAAAGAATGTCAAACATTTTGTCCCTCACTTTTTGACGAAAATTTACTGCTTCTTTTTCTCATTTAACAGTTCTAGTTACCTTCCAGAAATTGCTGTGATCAGTCTTTCTCAAGATTTTTATAATAATTGTTGAGATTAGTAGTTCCCAGGAAGTAGCGCCTATGGAAGACTAAAGATCATTATACTTACTACTCTGTATACTCTGTATACTCTGTAAATTGGATTGCAGATTTATTGATAACAGCTCAGCATCACTCTGACAGAATCATGCTGATTTTCTTTTCTTTATTTTCTAACCGAATTTAAAAAACGGCAATTGTGCAAGTGTGCGTGTCTGGTGTGGAAGTGCATGCTTGAGCAAGTACGAACTCAGCCTGACTTTTTTTCCAAGCGAAAATACGATTTTTTGTTTTTTCTGGCTTCTTGCAAATTTGAGTTTAAATTTCACGTGGAGGAAACTTGGTGGGAATGCTTAAAGGCCATATTATTAGGGTGATCGGTAAAAAATGGGGCAATTACGAAATAACTGGAAGTTTCTCAAGAAAGAGAAGTGATTAGACTTTCCAATTTTGACAGATGTTAGAATTTGTTTTCTCTTTCAGATAATACCTATATAAGGTCATTTACACAATTGATAACTTTTATACTTGCTAAAATGCAAAGTTACTCACTTCTATAAAGTCTGAACTTTGAGCAGTATCTGCGCAGTGAAACATGTGAGACCACCAATAGTACCACTGCTTGAGTGGGTGGTGGAACTGACACTAATCCACAACGGCTTGATGGCCTCAACTTTCAAAGTCAGGAGATATGTCCATTAACAGCTTCGAGAACAAAAATACGCGTTATTCAGGTGAACGCATGTTTTGTAGGCACCATCTGATAGAGCTTTTTACGCTCTATCCATCCATATGCAGGTTACCTCAGATTTTATCTATCTTGGGAAAATATGGGGCAAAACATAGTTTTTTGGTTTTTATTGCGCCAGAAAATGGCTATTTTTCAGATTTTCTCGCGTTTTTTTTTCTGAAATTAAAAAGAAATCTCATGCATTTAACATATGTTTGAAAGAGCATAAAGAGCTCTTTCGAATGCAATGCCAATTGGTTTATGACTTTACGGTATAGCAGCGCAAGACTGAGAAATGTTCCAAAGACCCTGTCCGGGTTCTTCACGGCGCCACGCGTACGGTAATGAAAGAGGAGCGGTAACGCGTTGCCAGAATAATAGGCGAAGGTCGGCCATATAAGCGACGTTTGAGTTGCAGCCTGCTAGTTGTCGGTGAGAACAGAAAACGTCAAAATGTAATAAAAATCAAGCTGCCCCATTTTTTAACGATCACCCTAACATAAAGCACACTATACTCTATCGAAAGATAACCAAACCATATGAAGGATATGGAGGATTATGATTTAGTACGGTAAAGAGTCAAATACAGAAGATATGTTACAATCTATTGTACTACCCATTCATCAGAAATTCTTTTGCTACTTACAGACAGATAAGTTGAGAGAACATCCGAGCTCATTATCAACAAGGGAAGCTTGTTTGGTCGAAGTGGCCTTTCTAAATGAGTAAATGTGTTATCAATGTTATTAATCCCTTTAATATGTATACCATATTAAAGGGCATAAAACATTGATTACAAAACTGCCTTCACTATCTGCGGAACATTCGTGAACGAAAAGTCATGAGCGTTTTTTGGAGCCAAAAATTGAATGGCATTTTAGATAAAATAAGTCGCTACAATCTTATAGCTCTCAAACAATGCAACCAAGTGTGATATATTTTATTTTAAGGTAATTTTTGATGAGGTGCTCTGATGATCATCACTGCTCCAATAAATAGCTAGAAAAGATATTACGACTATTCTTTTCTTACTTAAACATTCAATTTTTTGCTCCAATAAGCGCTATAACGCCTCATCCGTAAACGTTCTGCAGATAAGGAATGCAGATTTGGAATTAGAATTTTTTGCCGTTTAGCATGTTATACATCCCATCTAAAAAGGCCACTTTGACTAAACATGCATTCCTTGTAAGAAGGAGAGTTAAACAAAAAAAGTAAAAAGCTTATGCAAATTAACTGCCGCTTGTACCCCTCAAGGTGATGCAAGATAGGTCCAAAAACTACTTGATGGTAAACGTTGCGTTTGAATATTTTAGTTTGCATATTTTCTTTGCCATACCCTAAACTCAATAGTAATCAACTTTTAGGTTGTCCTATAAGTCTTTTCATTTTTGAGTTTTCACTGTGATCGTTATTCATACATAGACATCAGGATGCCATTTGATAGAGCAAAGCAAGCTCTATAAGATGACGTTTGTGCTTTTACAGCAGCTTCAATCCATCTCAAGTTTGATGCCAAAATCTAAAAAGTTTTGGATGCCCAGAATTGAAAGTTTTTCATATCTGCTTTCGAAAAAGTCCTACAGATCTCTCACTCGCTCATGCATATGCGCTCCAAATCAGACATTTATACGTGTTGCTGCTGTACTTTTTTATTAGCTAGAAGTCAGAAAAACAAAAATTTCCATGTGTTTACTTGGTTGTTTAGCCACGACCGAGATTGGTAAGTTTTTATTTAGGCTAACGTGTCGGCAATAATCGCCTTCTTCAAAGCCTGAAATCGGCGAAAACAATTTGCTGAAAACATCCTTGTCCACTCCCGCTCAGCACATCCTTTACATGCTAAAAAAGCTGTGGTCAGAAACATGTTTCGCACAGCTGCGAAAGTTTGTAGCGCTGGAGAGGAAAAGACGGAGTCATTAGCCTTGGCGCGTAGTATAGCTTCATTGAACGGTTATGAAAACAGCATGACGCGGTGTAGGATCCAACAGGAAAGATTTGTAGATAGAGCAAGAGCGTCCGCAGCAGAAAAGATACCCTGCTGCATACCCTTCATCTCCGATGAAGTGAGCACCGCCATTCGGCGGTGTCTGAGGAGAGCAGGGCTAGACAATACAGTTTCGGTAGTAGATATACCTCCGAACAAGTTGAAACGTATCCTTGTTCGGAATCGCATGTACGACCGCGGTTGCCCTACGCCGAGCTGTTCGATATGCCCAACAGCAAAAGACGGAGACTGCATGAGTACGGGTGTTGCATATCTCATATCATGCAAGGATTGCGGCAACGAATACATCGGAGAAACGGCACGCCCTCTGAGCGTATGTATTAAGAAACATCTAAAGGTAAAGAGAGATCACGCACATCTATTCCATTGGGCGCCCACAGAGTGCAAGATCATCAAGGAGTTGATTTTGAAGTGAAAGTAGAGATTCTAGCGCGCGAAGCTCAGACATCCACTCGCAAAACTTTAGAAGCCTTTTGGATTCATTTTAGAAATCTTAGAATGAATCGCAAGGGGAGTCTCTCTCTATCACACGAGAACTTGCACCGTATTTTAATCAGATTTTTTGACCATGTTAAGACATGTTTAATTCCTTGCTCAAGCGGTCAGTAAGCACTCGCTCGTACTAAACTAGAACTTTACCGGCGAACGAAAGGTGAGTACTGCGTGTGGCAGCCTGCTCGTGGTCGAAAGAAAGCTTAGAATTTTGCCTGTGGGATTGAGGTGTTTGATCGGGTAGTCTGTGATTTGTTTTCGCCCATTTCAGGCTCTGAAGAAGGCGAATTATTGCCGAAACGTTAGCCTAAATAAAAACTTACCAATCTCGGTCGTGGCTAAACAATCAAGTAAACACAGTAATCATCATGCCTAGATTTATAGAAAGTCGAACTTTCCGAAAAATTTCCATGTTTTACCAAAGTCATGCTGCGCTGTTCTTACACTAACAGTTGTACACACAAGAAGTAAAACCGTAAATTTTTAGCTCTCTATAAACTCTAGTTTCCGAGAAATATCGAATTTAGCTTTTCTTGGGTTTTTCACGCTTAACTCAACATATATCGGAAACCAGAGCTTATAGAGAGCTAAAAATTTACGGTTGTATTTCTACGGGCTTGTAGTATACAAATGTTGGTGTAAGAACCGCCAGCATCATTGTGGTAGAAACATGGGAAATTTTGTTTTCTTGACTACTAGCTAATGAAAAAATACACCAACAGCACGAATGAATGTCTTATGTGGGCTGTATATGCGTAAACGAGTAAGACATCTGTAGGACTTCTTCAAACGACGATATAAAAAATTTTCAATTTTCTGGGCATCCGAAACTTTATAGATTTTGGATTTAAACTTGAAATAGATTGAAGCTGGTGCAAAAATATGAACGCCATTTTATGAAGCTTGCTCTGCTTTATC